TGTGTGTATATATATATATATATATATATATATATATATATATATAAGTATATAATATAATTTAATAAAAGTTTTTCTGCTGTTATCAGGAAAAAACCCAAGTGATTGCACTGGTGCCTTCATGTCATGCAGTAAGCACACAGAGATCTTCAACCCTGTTCCTGGGGACCCACTGTCCTGCAGAATTTAGCTACAACCCTAATCAAACACACCTGAAGCAGCTAATCAAGCTCCTCGAGATTGCTTGAAAACACACAGGCAGGTGTGCTGTAGCAGGCTGGAAATAAACTTTACAGGACAGTGGGTCCCTAGAAGCAGGGTTGAAGACCTCTGCACAAACACTTGGATGTGCCTATAGCGCCATTTTTGAGGTTTTTGAATGACTGGCAAACATTTGGATAAATATAATAAAAATACGACTCTGAAAATAAATCTGTATTGTTCATTCTTTCAACAAGTAAAACAAATAAAAGTTTGTGGGGAGGAGGGGAATTAGGTCCCCCTGTAAAGGTTCCTTTGGTTTCTCCCAACTTTACTGATTAATTATACCTACACCTGTCATTCATGTGGTACCTGACACACTCTGAGGAAGGCTGAAGGCCCAAATGCATCAGTGTGCAGTGTTTTAGTCATTTTTAATGTTTTTGTTGTGATGACCATAATGAGAATACATTTTTTTTTTATTTTTTTTTTTATACCGGAAGAAGTGCCTTGGATTCCTTTGTATAATAGTTCCTCAGCAATGTTTAGATGAATGATTGCCAAACAACACGGACACAGCAACACAACACAATAATACTGATGTAATAATGTCACAGGTGTGTGTTTACAGAGTGTTTTACAACAGCTTCAAATGCAGCTCAGCCAATCACAAATCAAGAAGCAGAACTATCAGTTTTACATTTACATTTAGTTATTTAGCAGACGCTTTTATCCAAAGCAACTTACAAATGAGGACAATAAAAGCAGTCAAAACTAACAAAAGAGCAACAATATATAAGTGCATTGAAGGAGTTATGGTTGATGAGCCTAACTGGATGTTGAAATGTTGATAAAGTGATGGTTTGCTGAAACCACAAGCAGTTCTTTCTTGGCAAGATTGAGTTGAAGGTGATGGTCCGTCATCCAACAAGAAATGTCTGTTAGACATGCTGAGATGCGAACAGCTATCGTCGGATCATCAGGATGGAATGAGAGGTAGAGTGTCATCAGCATAGCAGTGATATGAAAAGCCATGTTTCTGAATGACAGAACCTAGTGATGCCATGTAGACAGAGATCCAAGAACTGAGCCCTGAGGCACCCCAGTAGCTAGATGTTGCGACTTGGACACCTCACCTCTCCAAGATACCTTGAAGGACCTATCTGAGAGGTAAGACTCAAACCACTGGCGTGCGGTTCCTAAGATGCCATTTTTAAATAGGGCTGACAGGAGAATCTGTTGGTTCACCGCATCAAAAGCAGCAGACAGATCCAACGAAATAAGTATAGAAGATTTGGAAGCCGCTCTTGCCAGTCTTAGGGCTTCAACAACTGAAAGCAAGGCAGTCTCGGTCGAATGTCCACTTCTGAAGCCAGATTGGTTGCTGTTGTGCACTGAGGTTTGTAATTTTATTAACGAAGAATGTGGCACAGTCGTCAGCTGTTAGAGTTGATGAAGGAGGGGTAGGAGGGGGACAAAGGAGGGAGGAAAATGTTTTAAAGAGCATGTGAGAATTAGGAGAATTGTTAATTTTGTTGTGATAGTATATCCTTTTAGCAGTGGAGACATTAGCAGAGAATGAAGAGAGGAGTGATCGATATACATTAAGGTGATCTGAGGTGTGCAGTGGAGTAACGAGCACATGATCAGTGGAGCAGTGTCGTGTGTAAATAAGGTCCAGTTGGTTGCCTGATTAGTGAGTAGCTGTAGTTAACACTCGCTTGAGATCAAAAGAGGCAAGCAGAGTGTGGAAGTCTGAGTTATATGTTTATATGTTTTATAAAACATAATTTCAATAACTTATTTGATTTGGGTGATTATACCTCATGTGTATCAAATCAACATATAAAATGCATCTGAATTTCAAACCTCAGTTTCTCCAGCTGACAGTTTGGGCTCTTCAGTGCATCAGAGAGCAGCTTCACTTTTGAGTCCTGCAGAGTGTGGATTGTAGAACTGATGCCATGAATTCACAGCTCTGACCAGTGAGATTACAGTGTTCCAATCTGAACAGAGTAATAAATAACTGAATAATTACATATCCATTTTTATTTATTAACAAGTGTTGCAGTATCTTTTATCATTTAATAAAGATACATGTTCTGTTGAAAATAAAGGTGAATTCAGATTGTTAACCAGTTTATCTCTACAGCCATTTGCCAGATAAAGTACTAATGGAGAAAATTATAATTGTTGTTAACATCAGACACACAATCTCATAATATATATAAAAATAAAACAGTTTAACAGTGCAAAATCAAACTAGTGCCGCCCCAACTAAAGATTTTTCTAGTCGACTAGTAGTCATTCATTTAAATCATTAGTCGACTAATTGCATGTTTATATTAATTTAATTACTTTAATTACATAAAGCTTGCCACAGAGCACCGGCAAAAGTAATGACTATGAATGTGTTGTAAAAAATAGCAAGGAGATATTTTAATTATTTATTAATAAATAATTTAATAAATAATTTATTCATAAATAAAATGACAAAGTGTTTTACATTTTTCCACTCTTATCAGGAAAAATGCGAGTGATTGCACTGGTGTCTTCATGTCATGCAGTAGCACACTAACAGCTTTCACACTCCACACAAACACTTGGATCCGCCTAGTGCCATATTTGAGGATTTTGAGTGACAGGCAAATGTTTGGATAAATATGATAAAAAAACTGTATTGTTCATCCTTTTGATGGTAATTAAAAGAAAAAATCACAAATTTCTCCTAACTTCACTGATTAATTATACCTACACGTGTCATTCATTTGGTACCTGACACACTCTGAGGAAGGCTGAAGGCCCAAATGCATCAGTGTACAGTGTTTTAGTCATTTTTAATGTTTCGATTGTGATGACCATAATGAGAATAAAGACTGTTTTACTTTTTTGGACCGGAAGAAGTGCCTTGGTTTCCTTTCTATAATAGTTCCTCAGCAATGTTTAGATGAATGATTGCCAAACAACACATACACAGCAACACAACACAATAATACTGATGTAATAATGTCACAGGTGTGTGTTTACAGAGTGTTTTACAACAGCTTCAAATGCAGCTCAGCCAATCACCAATCAAGAAGCAGAACTATCAGTTTTATAAAAAAATAACTTCAATAACTTATTTGATTTGGTAATGATACTTTATGTGCATCAAATCAACATATAAAATGCATCTGAATTTCAAACCTCAGTTTCTCCAGCTGACAGTTTGGGCTCTTCAGTCCATCAGATAGCAGCTTCACTCCTGAATCCTGCAGCTTATTGTCACTCATGTTCAGCTCTATCAGACGGGAGTTTGATGATTGTAGAACTGATGCCATGAATTCACAGCACTGACCAGTGAGTTTACAGCGTTTCAATCTGAACAGAATGATAAATAATTGAATAATTACACATCCATTTTTATTCATTAACAAAAGTTGCAGTATATTTTATCATTTAATAAAGATACATGTTCTGTTGAAAATAAAGTTGAATTCAGATTGTTAACCAGTTTATCTCTACAGCCATTTGCCAGATAAAGTAGTAATGGAGAAAATTATAATTGTTAACATCAGACACACAATCTCAGTGCCGCCCCAACTAAAGATTTTTCTAGTCGACTAGTAGTCATTCATTTAAGCCATTAGTCGACTAATTGCATGTTTATATTAATTTAATTACTTTAATTACATAAGGCTTGCCACAGAGCACCAGCAAAAGTAATCAGAATCAGAATCAGAAGAGCTTTATTACCAAGTATGTTTATACACACAAGGAATTCGACTTGACAACAGGAGCTTCCAGTGTAGAAGAAAGTACAACATAGTGCAGACATACATGATAGTGCAGACATACATAGGAATAACACAGTAGGGATGTAATATAACTGTCAGGGTCCCCGAATTCAGTGGTTCCGGAGGACCCGATTCTGATGATCCCTAATCCAGTGGTCCAGGAGGACCACAGTCAGGAGAGCTCAAACCCATTGGTCCAGGAGGGCCTGTATCAAGAGGCCCCCAGTCCAGAGGTCCAGGAGAGTTTGAGTCAAGATGTCCCCAATCCTGTGGTTCAGGAGGACCTGACTCAGTTGGTCCTGTATTCAGTGGTTCCAGAGATATGCAGTCTGGAACCAACCCCTAAGCCGCCTACGTCACCAGCTAAGCCTGTGTAGAAGGAACCTGAGACTGCACCGTCTGAATTATTTATGAGACCTGTTTTGTCCAAGGTGGGCACTCTAATCAGCACTGCTGCCTCAACAGAAACTGTTCATGACCTGGCCATGGAGGTCATTCCAGAGCATCTCACCCTGCCTGTTATGGCCATGGAGGCTACCTCAGAACAGCGAGCCAGTCCTGTTGTGCCCACAGAAACCAATCCTGTTTGTCATGTCATGCTTTCAGAAACCATTCCTGTTTCGGCCACGGAGGCCCTTCCTGAGCATCTGAGTGCACTTGTTAGGGCCACGGGGGAAATCTTGGGTGTGATCTCTAGTCATGTTTTGCTCATGGAGACTGATCCTGTCTGTAATGTCATGCCCTCTGATCCTGTTCTGGCCACGGAGACCCTTCCAAAGCATCCATGTCTGCCTGCTAAGGCCACAAAAACCGCCTTGGGCCTATCATCCAGTCTAGTCATAACCACAGAAACAGAGCCTGACAGTGATGTTACTTCCTCAGAATCTGCTCCAGCCCTGTTCACGGAGGCTATTTCTGACCATCTTGATCTGCCTGCTATAGCCACGGAGGCTACCTCTGAGCTGCTCACTAGCCATGACCCACCCAAAGAAATCATTTCTGCCAGTCTTGTCGTGTCATCTGAGGTCATTCCTGCCAGTCAAAACACAGTCAAGAAGTCTGTATCAGCCCCAGCATTGTGTACATCTAGATCTGATGGAGCCTCTGAAACGGTGCATGATGTCATATTGGTGCAGGAGTCGTCAAAGTTATCCTCATTACCCACAAGTGCAGTTATGGCTCCTGAATTTGTTCCTGAGCATTTCCGTAATCAAGAGACTGCATCTATTCGAGACACCAAACCCAGTTGGGTGTCCCCACTAGTGAAGAGGGCCTCTATCTCTAGAGGTGTCACTAATCGGGTTCCTATCTCTCCCTCAGTATTGCCTGGCTGTCATGCTTCTCCAAAGTTACCACCTTTTTGGGCAGTCCCAAGATATTCCCCTGGACTGTTTTCTGCCCTCCCAGCCCTGCCCCCTGTGTTTCCTGGCTACTCTGGACCTCCTATCTTTCCTCCCCACCTGCCCCCCCCAGTTGGTACCTCCTTGGTCCCTGATTAACACAGTTCTCCCTTGGACTCCTTCACCCAGTGTGGACACCTGGAGGCGTCCATTAGAGGGGCCTCTCGTCCTGCCCCCTTGTTTCCCTCTACCATGCCCCCTCGTTTAGTCCTAGTCTAGTCCTCGTTAACTTGATTGTGTCCGCCTGTTCCTCATGTGTTCTGCTCCTTTATAGTGTGCCTCTTCCCTCATGTCTTTGCTGGTTCGTTGCATTAGTTCATTGTGTGTAAGACAATTCCTTGTCAGGCTACTCGTCATATTAGTAGTATTAGATTTTACTATCCTAGTCAGTCTAGTTTTGCATTTAGTTCTCTTGAAGTTTATTAGGGCTTCTTTGCTTTTGTTATTTTTGCTCTAGTCTAGTTCCTGTCTTTATGTTTGCTCTAGTTTTCTCAAGCCTCTAGTTTGGTTTCTTTCTTTCTTTCTTTTGATTTTGTCTTTGCCCAGTTTTTATTCTAGTTATCGATTCCTAGAATTTGCCTTTTGGTTCTTTTGTTTTATTTGCTCTCTGCAGTTTGTATTTGTTTCTCTCTTGTTTTCATTCTAGTCATAGTGTGTAGTCAGTGTGTTATTTTGCTGCTGCTTGTTCTCTCTTGTGGTCTTGTCTTGTGTGTCGTGTTATGTCTTGTGTGTGTTCATGTTCTGTGTCCTGAATCCCTCCTGGCTGCTGTTCTCAAGACCTGGCTATCTGACTGGACTGGTATCACTGCAGCTCAAAGTATCAAGCCCTGGTTTCTCAAGCTGCTGCCTGATATCCAGTGTTCTCATTGACTGGGGCTGCTCTATCTCCTTTGTTCTCCAGCAAAACTTTGTTCAGGTCTGACCAAGGACCAGCAGGCTGCCCTTTCCTACTGTTTGGACTCCCACATAAGCCCTGTTAATCCTTGCCTTGTCAATAAACCTCACTCCCTTGATCATTCTGCATCTGGGTCTCTCTCTCGTAAACTGCTGTGACAAAACCGTGACAATAACACTAATATAAAAATTAAAAAAAAACATTAAATGTACTATATACAGAAATAGAAGTACAGGGAAAAAATGTAATTGTAATGACTATGAATGTGTTGGGAAAAAATAACAAGGAGATGTTTTAATTATTTATTAATAAATAATTTAATAAATAATTTATTCATAAATAAAATGACAAAGTGTTTTAAAATTTTCCACTCTTGTCAGGAAAAATGCTAATGATTGCACTGGTGTCTTCATGTCATGCAGTAGTACACTAACAGCTCCACACTCCACACAAACACTTGGATGTGCCTAGTGCCATATTTGAGGTTTTTGAATGACAGGCAAATGTTTTGATAAATATCATAAAAGTGTATTGTTAATCCTTTTGATGGTTAATTTAAAATAAAAAATCACAAGTTTCTCCCAACTTTTTAACTTTCAATAACTTATTTGATTTGGGTGATTATACCTCATGTGTATCAAATGAACATAATAAAAACCGTCTCAGGTTACTTATGTAACCATGGTTCCCTGAGTAGGGAACGAGACACTGCGTCCTCTAGGGGTCGCTATGGGGAATGCCTCGTCGTGACTTGTGTCTGAAGCATACATTCAAAAAACACCAACAACATGTTGGCCGGAGACAGCCTATGACGTCACTACCGGTGCGACTATAGTATAAATAGGCGCCGGGAAAACACGTCATCCACTTCTTCGTCTGAAGCTTGCGTCCGAAGCATGGCAGGAAACCTAGAGGACACAGTGTCTCGTTCCCTACTCAGGGAACCATGGTTACATAAGTAACCTGAGACGTTCCCTTTCAAGGGAATTTCGAACTGTGTCCTCTAGGGGTCGCTATGGGGAATGGTATACCCACGCCACCATGCTGAGGGGAGTGCATGTCAGAGAAGTACCAATGCCATAGCCATGGGAGTTGCCTGGGACGTTGGACGGCTGTCCATGACATTATCCCCTACAGCCAAAGGCCTAGTCAACATACCCCAAAACTTACCTGTTAGGGCCAGACTCCTGGGCCCGGGGTAGAGCTCAAAGCTTGGAATCATTGAATAGATTCCTTTAAGGGGATACGACCAAGAGCCTAGAATCATACTAAGTCTTGGCCTGTCACACAGGGGCTACCGCACGTTTCTCTTTGTATGTGCTGAAGGAACTGTCTCAACAGACCCCTAGTAGCAACAACCTGTTGAAGTAGGTATCCAGAGGATACATAGGTGGTGTGGTGCCCAAGGTGAAACCGGGGCTTTAACCAGCTCAAGAAAGGGCACGAAGCCGCCGCGCGTAGCCCTTACCATACAGGATTTTAGAAAGAATGCAAAGTACTACTGTGCGAACTTACCACAGTGTGGATTTTAGAAAGTGCACAAAGACTTCACGTGTACACTTACCATAACATGGATTTTAAAGATACCGTTCTAAGGGGCTCTCGTGGCACACTGAAAGAGCAGCCCATAGATGGAAATGGTGCATCACAAGAACAATATGTTCGAGAAGTCATCAGCTCGATCCATGGTAAATGCTGGAATGGCTAGCAGTAAGTTACCTAGCTGAGGGAGCAAAACACCCAGCTCTCAGTCGAGAGGGGGCTCGACCTACAGCATGATCGTTAGAAACCAGAAGGGTAAGCGTACTGCAAGCTTAGCCAAAAACTCAGCACATCAGGGAGGCAGAGGAAGGGCCTAGTTTGCCTGATGTTGCCGGTGCCAGGTGCTCTAGAAAAACAGAGAACTCAAACTTCTCATGTGAGAGGAGAACTCCGAATTCAGAGGAATAACGTTGCTCATTCCAGGTAACCCTTTGATAAAAGGGGAGCACTGCTCAATACTACCACGAGGTCGAAAGAAAGCACCATGCTCACAATAACCCTCAATGGTGAGGAGAGCGATGCTTCAAAAGTGTGTCAACAGAGACACACTGGTTGAGTGGAGCCCAAGGCGAGTACCGGGGGCCAAGCCAACTCAGAGAAAGGTAAAGACAACCCTCTGAGCACTGCCCAAGATAGCATTTCACAAGAAGGTTCTCGCAAATGCCATCCATACTTTCTGCTCGATGCCTCAGCGAGAGGGGATATACTGGTCACCAGGAAGCCCCTCAGGGCGACCTAGATACGGCGTACCAGACAGGGCAGCCTGAAAAGCATAAGCCCAGCCCGGACGTCCAGGAGAATTGCAGTCTTGCAGAATTGCTGTGCCGGGGGCCTGATGATCAAGAAGCACTGACGCCTCGTCTGGATCACAACCACCGTCTCGACGGAGGTACCGAAAAGTTCGGAAGGCGAAATCGGAGCATCGAGAAGAAAGCCCCTTTCTTTCATCACGATATCTGCCAGGTTCACCGACAGATGTCTCTCCGTTACCACCATAGACCTGCCCATAGCAGAGGCGGCCTGCTTAGTAGTACGGAGAGCAAGATTTGTGGTGCAGCGCAACTCAGCTACCTCATCGGGAGAAAGGCCCTCGCCTTTATCCAGGTCTTTCAGCAGGTCAGCCTGGTATGC